TATATATATATATATATATATATATATATATTGTATGTATGACATCCCGGTGTATACATGTATGTATATATATCGCGTTGGATACCACTAACGGAATTTGCACAACTGCCTCGGTTAATTAACTTCTGAGAAACGGATATTTTTCAAGATTTGATGTTTTACAGTTCCCTGTTTGTTTATATTTAGTTTATAGTCGAGGATTCATTTGGCTATCCTGATCTCAACAGTTTTTGTTACTGTTATTAATATTATCATTATTGTTATTACTTTTATTGCCCTACTTTCTATTATTACTTTGATTCTACTCTATTTTTACTAATCCTTTCAGTTCCAGTCGTTTCATGCCACAAACAGACCCTTAGGGTTTGTGGCTACTGATTATTTTCAGGCCAAATTTCTCAGGCTTTGTCTTGCTGAAATTCAGCAACTACTGTATATGGTTTTCCCTACTTTTTATACTTTTCTCTGTAAAAAGCTGAGCATCAAGGCTTGGATTGTAGAATCCACACCTATACATGATTACTCTCTCCTCTAAATGCATTTTTAGGTGATTTCGAGCGTGTATTGTTTGACCTAGTTCTGACTGCAATATATCAGTGGTTAGTCTCTACACGAATAAAACTAGTAATTAATTCTATGGGTCATAACTGACATTTTGCACTCAATGATGTTACTTATATAAATTGTCAGCAATGCGGGATTTTTGACTAACGAGTTGATTCCTGTTATTCCATGTCCATATCCCCCATTTCATCATCATTTCCATTGTAAATTTTTTTCCATGTCTACATCCTTTCGTTTTGTTGTAGTTACTGTTGCACTCATTTTTTTTTTTTTTAAACTGAAAGCAAAAAATGAAATTATAACCGATGTGCGTAACCCTTACACAATAAACTCAGCAGCTGCCGTTGTTATACGCTATCCGCGTCCCGCAAGGCGATGACGTCGAAAACGCGACTGTTGGCCCACTACATTACAAACGTCTACCTATTCAAGACAACGCACCCCACCTTCCGAGATGAGAACAACTTGCTTGGTGACAGTGTTACGACGTTCACGACGCTCTTCTGGAATAGTGCTACAGAGAGCACTTGGGCACCAGCGATCCCCCTCATATCTTTATGAGATCCACTGTACATATTGATACACATTGCACCCCCAAAACAGCCCTAAACTTCAAAACAAGAGAAACACTTTGCCAGGAACACACCTTGTAGACGGGCTTTCGCCACCGCGAAAGCCCGTCTACAAGGTGTTAAACGTCGACCGTAGATCACTGGTTACCCCTAACAAGCCTTAGTATCAATGCCCTTATACCGACGCAAGGCTTGACCAGTATTCCTTCATCAACGGACAGGTCAAGCCACAAACGGCAAACCCATACACAACAGGCCACCTGGCAGGTCAATCCTGAAGAAAGCGAAAAAAACTCGATAGGTAATGCAGCAGATCTTTTAACCATTCAATATCCACACGACACCGTACTTTATAACAGACGACGACCAGCCTACAAATCTGAAGGAAATAAAACAGCATACCTGACAACCTCAACTGAAAAACCAGTTGAACAAATTTCATTACAAAATGGGTTTGGAAAGAATTTCTAATCGTGTTTTTAATTTCCAGTCATTACACAATTATTGACAGGAAAACGAGAGCGGTAAATGCAGAATACCCTTAAAAAATTCTGACAGGTTTTCATAGCATTAAAAAAACCATGAAAAAACTGTATTGTGGTTAAATATCCAGAAAAAAATTGAGTTCTTCAATACACATCAATGAGAAGTAATGAGAACGGCATCAAAGAAACAGTGCGGTTTTATATAGATAATTAACGAATAGTAAACGTAAATGAGACCGATTCCCGAACGAGAATGAAACCGTATTTGAGAAGGAAACTTCAGGAAAAAGATAGCTATATTTGGTGCTATAACACAGATACTACGTACTTGTCCAAAACAACGTATGAAAATAAACACAAAGAAAACGACATATTAAAAGTAAATCAAAAAGAAAACACACGGGAACAAATTCATGGCAACTATTCAGCAATCAAATATAAGCAATAAAACTTTTAAGAAAAACAAATATTGATGCATTAATCAAAACTGCAATCAGAAACATTTCGAAAGGTTATTTTGGTTATGCGATCAAGATAAAGTACTAAAATCCGTCACCAAGTTAGCCAAAAACCAGGAGTCTCCGGAATTCAGGTAAACGTTTTCTTCAGTCAACAATAAGTAAAATAAGGACGTTTAATGTTAAGAAGTCTTATAAATGGACGAGCCGTAACATATTTCTGATTGACCAAGTAATCTTTTAGAATTCTAGCAAAAACTGCCAATATCTCAATCAAAAAAACCGCAGCAGTGAACGTTAAGAAATTCATTACAAGCATCTGAAGACCTCGAAGATTCGTCATAAAGAGACGTACTTACGTTTTATCGCTCGAACAAACGTCTTCAGCTGACCCGTTGCTCTCAGCGCCGAACTCAGAGCCATCCTAAAAACAAGTTTTGAAACGAAATGCCGTTCAACTCAAAAAAAAATTACCATTCAAATTCTCAAAAGAGAAATGATTTTTACCTCCCACGACTATCATTATTCTTTCAAAAAAATAAAAAATAAAGAAATTTTTTTTGGCAAATCTGTCAGAATAACTCTCACGGCCAATGCCGAAACAGCATCATAACTGTAAAAATTATTTCATCCCACAGTAGTTAAATACAAAACCATTTCAGAGTATTTTTAAAGCCAATAGCTTTTTCAAACCTTTGTACCTTGTTAACAAAATAATGAGTGAACAAAAACCATTTAAACAGACTGATATTTAAAGCTGTATGACTTACTTCATCATTTAAGTCCACTTCCGGTGGAAGGAAGACAGCACGGATTACTGGCTTCTTCGGTTTCAACCAGTCGTGTGCTAAACACTGCCGCGCACTGGCTCTCAGTTCTTGATCAAAAATTAACATCGGCTTTAAAAATGACGCAAATTCAAGTGCCGATTCTTCTGGCCAATCGTATTTTTGAACTAGTACTTCTTCCAAAGACCATGGTTTTAACTGTTTTATATGCAACAGACGACCATTCTGAAAGCTGTCTCATAAATATAAATTTGTCGAAAATCTAGGACTGGGAACGACGAACGACAACCTACACGATACAATTCAGTGCCAGTAATAACAAAAGTCTCACACAACCTTATTAAAAAATTCCCTCCAGTGCAGTCCTTTTTTAAAAACATTAGGTGATATCGGTCCAAGAAGCTCAATTATGTGTGCCAAATGGTCCTCGTCGCGAGTGTACGTTTCGCCGCTATGAGGCTCGAACAAATAATCACCAGTTGCCAATTCAAATGCCTAATCAGTGATTAACTGAAGGTCTGAGTAAAAAAGAAGTTATTTAACAACCAACTGTTCCCCGTGTCCCGCAATGGAACTACCTAGGAAAATCCAGAAAAAAACGAAATCTTTTACTTTACAATGCTATAGTAACAAACCATGCACGCTGTGCTCCAAATATCGGCAGGTGGCCCGTAGCCTGCCCCAATGAGGACTTCCAAACTACGATACTGGCGAGTTTGAACATCTTCGGTGAAATGGTGGTGCTAAAATGGATTTTCTTTGTCAACAACCTATCATCAAACCTTCACCAATTTCAAATACTCCAAGTCATAAACTATGTTGACTACAGAAAAAAAGAAATTAAGAGGAACATAAGAAATAATGACAGTCCTCTGAAATTGAGTTTAAAATTTTCTAAAACGAATACCGTCCAACATGCATTCCCAAGATCAGCAATTTTGACATTAATTTCAGTATTAGGATCCAAGTAATCAGGATCAACTCGCCTAAATGGTATAGGCAGTTCACCCTCACCAGTGATCGGCTTATATTCAGGTTCCAAAGGCGATCCTGAAAAAAATTAACAACTTCTTGAGTTATTTCCTTAAAAATTCAAATATAATGCGGTGGTTATCAGAACAGGAATGTACACTAATAACAAACTTTGTACCCAACTAGTGTAAAGAATCTCCAGTAACATTAGGAAAAACAAAAATAAAAAGAAAACGACATAAGAAGCTTACTAAGGGGTCCCTCAAAGTCTGCATAAGATCGTTTAACAAGGAAGTCCCCACTGTCTTCCGGCGTAACAGATAATCTCTCCACTTTTCTATCGTCCAAAGTCATGCCATTTATATCCAAATTCTAAAAACAGGAGTAAACTGCCAGAATGGCTTACAACCGGAAAAATAGAAACAAACAAAACCAACAAAAAAAAATTAAATTTGTAAGGCACTAACATCGCTAGTACGTTCAAACTGTCTTACAGCCAAATCCTTCTCGTCCACCTGCAATACCTCAACGTGTCATGACTAAAGGGAGGGAACAGGTTTAAGGTTGCAAAAATATAATAAAAAAACATGAGCAGAAATTTGAAACTCATCAAGACGAGATCGTAACGAAATGCATTTAAGAAAAAAAATGTGTAAGAATAAGTAACCACAGACACTTTTTGAAACAACCTAAGAATAGGCAATTAAGAGGAACAACCTCCTTTTGACTAAACACGATTTAAAATACTTATTAAAATCAAACAAAAGTTACATAGCTTCGTAGCACTCAATTGTGTTATAAGAGCAGACCGCAGCAAATTCTGATAATATAAGCTCAGCACAAACGCAACCTAATCAAAACTTAAATAACTCAGCAGCCTAGCAACAATTCATACAACAGATGATCCATGCACGTTAAGACGACATTAAAATTAAA